ATACAGTTGTATAAATAAAGAGGGGGGGGGAAAGTCAAGTGATGGAAGGGGAAGCACTCCCCACCAGCCGCCCTGGCCACGGTGGTCTCACCTTGCCCATGTCCAAGGCGGCGGCCTCCAGCACGTCCTGCTTCTTCTCGTCCAAGAAGCGTCCCGGGGCCTCCAGCTGGGCCACGCGGTGCTCCATGGGCCGCGTCCTCCCCGAGAGCCAGGCTGCCCGCAGGCGGCTCACCAGCCCCGCGTAGGGGACTCATCCCGAGAGCGGGCTCTGAGCACCGCGCTGCTAATAAGGAAATACCGCTTGCTTTGAGTCAGACGGGGACGTCCAGATCTGACCGCGGGGTGAAATCCCAGAGCCCGCGCTGGGTGACGCAGCTGACCAGCCAGTGGACAAAGCCACCCCAGTCCCTTCTGCCCCTGCAGCGAGTGGGGTTGGCAGGGACAGGGACCCCCTTCCCCAGCACAGCCACCCCCCCAAGCTGGGGGATGGAGCAGCCTGGCACGTCCCTCTGCTCCCCAGGGACCATGCTAGGTGGGACATGTCCAACGGGATGGACAGGGTGGGGATAGCGGGGCTGGAAGAGAGAGGGAGCAGTTGGGATGGAGGAACGGAGCCCAGAGACCCTCCAGGATGGAGCCAAAGCAACCAGGCCAGAGCAGAGAAGGGCTCTGGAGGAGAGCACACCCCAAAATGCTGCAGGAGAAGTCTCCGCGTCCCTGCTGACGCCTTACCTGTCCCTCTCCTCTGGGCTCAGCTGCCCGTGCTTGCTCCAAGGTCCCCGTTTCATTGCTGATGAAGTTGCCAGCCCATGCAAGATAAGGGAGGGCGAACTGCAGGGCATGGGGCAAAGGGAACTGGCATCATCCCAGCCCAAGCATTTGGGAGGAGAGCGTTGCTGTGGACCTTCTCGGGGGAGAGTCCCCAAGGAGGGGGGCATGGGCAGCACAAGGTGACCACCGGCCCCTCCGCTGTGGCGGGGCCAGCAGTGATGGAGCAGGAGGTCGCTGGCACCAAGCGTGGCTGGAACCCGTAGAGCTGGCGATGGGGCTGTGGGACCTGCGTGCAGGGAGGTGTGGGGCCCAGGAGACCTGTGGGGCACGGGGGCTGATTGGCGGGCTGCCACGGAGGCAGCGGGAGAGCAGGCAGGGGCAGGCAGGGGGGACAAAGACAAGCACACAGGAGGTCACCGGTTGCAGGGAAACACCTTTCATTGCACATGGCCACCGGGACCGCCGCGACCGGCGGCAGGAGACATCATGGCGGTGGCAGGGGACCCTCAGAGCAGGGTGCAGGTGCTCTTGCGCTTCACCTCGGAGGCGGCCCGGACGATCCCCAGCTTCTGCTGGCTGTAGGGCGGGTAGCGCAGGGCGTTGAGGGCTTCGCAGCCCATGCTGCGGTGCAGGCAGCCGCGGTGGTGGGTGAAGGCATCGAAGGTGAACCTGCCGTGGTAATTCCCCAGGCCGCTGCTCCCTGCAACACACAGCACAGGTGCCTGGTAGGTGGCTGGATCTGGCCGTCACTCACCCACCGTTTGGGCCAACGAGGCCGAAATTAAGCTCCCAGCTCCGCTCTCAAGGGCAGCACGGAGGAGGCGCTGGCGATGGAGACCGCTTGTGTCTGTGGACGGCACCACGTCTTCATCCATCTGCTTTTGAACACCGGGGTTGGCGGGGACAGCTGGCCGTGAGCAAGCTTCCCCAGCAAGCGATCTAAAGCGGAGCATGGAGGTGGCCTAGCTGGATGCCCAAATGCTGCTTGAGGGATGTTTGGAGGAGGAGGCCTGGGCTGGGAGGAGGAAAGGTTCCCACCAACCCTCTCGTCAGTCTGGATTTCACCATTTCAGGTAACACGTTTAGCCCTGGTGCAAAGCTCACCGCGTTAAGCCAGGCTCAGAAAAACGTTGACAGCGTAAGAGTTTCGCAGAACATCATCTTCCCAAAAGGAGGGACTGCGCCTTGGAGGATTTCTGAGCCGAGGAAAGCAGACGAAGGCTGGAGCCTTTCACCTCGTCCTGCTGGTTTGGGGAGAGGATCCAGAGCGCCTCCACTTTGCTGGCAGATGGGAGAAGCGGAGTGGGGGGAGCGGGAAAGGCATGGCATGGCAGAGAACAGGCAGCGGGAGCGCTGGTCGCTGCCCTCCCATCCTCACCCTCCGGGGAAGCGGTGTTTTATACCGGCCTGAAGCAGGTTCATCTTGTTTAGCTGATGCCCTTGAGGATGCTGGGAGATGTGTCCCCATCTCCACGGATGCTTAAGCACCTAAAATACTCAGGAAAGAAAACTAATCTTGTTTCTGTATCTTCAGCTCCTCTTTTGCAGGTGCTTCCTACATCCCCTCCAAGTTTCTGTTCTCCTTTTACTCTACTTCTGAAAACTTTAGTGATTTAAAAAAAAAAACAAACCACCACAACCCTTTTTGATCACGAAACCTCGCCTGGTGCCAGAGCGACTGGGAAGGGTGTCACTGGTGATGTGGCGTTGGATGCTCCCACCAGACGAGCTTCCCTACCGCAGGGATGCCCTCCGAAACACGTCCCCTCCGTGCCAGCTCCAGCCCCGCTGCCGGCCAGGCTCTAGGAGTGGCGAGGGGCGGGTGATTCTCAAGGTGACTTTGGTGAGGATGTGACCCATCTCCAAGGATGAGTGAAATGGCTGTTGGGAGGTGAAAGCTGGCCAGGAGCAAGCACGGGAGAGCCAGGCAGGCTGGCAGTAAATAAGGACATCCATCTGCGTGCTGATAACTGATGGGATAAGATTATTAGAGTCAGCTTTCTGATAACATGCAAATCCTGGTGAAGCTGATGAGATGTTTGGTCTCTCTCACGCCCGCAGCCTCAGCACGAAGGTTATCAGGTGGCTCTGAGCCAGCTGAGCGGCTGCGTCCGGGCTGGGGAACGAGAGCTGTTTTTCCACGGTGGTGAAGATCATCTGGTCAAAAGCGGGTGTCTCCACCGCCTAGACTCCTTCTTCTCGGAGGGAAGAGAGAAGCACTTCTGGACATGGCTTTTTTTCACCCTCAGTAGACATCCAGAACAAGCCAGAAGACACGCAGCCCCGAAATGCTGTTTCTGTCCATCAGCTGTAAAATGCCATGTCACGGGGGTATCGGAGTGACTAAAAGTTTCCCTGGATTCAAGGAGAGCCTGGGTCGGTACGCGGAGTCCAGCACCCTTTACTGAACGCACGGGACCCTTCTGGCTGAGCGAATCGTTTGAGCTGGAGAGAGATGGAGGCTGGAAGACTTTCAGGAGGGAATATCGTGCGTGCTTGCCCTGTTCTTACTCATGCAGCTGGGTAGGGTTGTGGTGGAAGAATGCAGAACTAGACACAGCTTTGTTCTGAAGCCTTTACAGGAATGAAAGGATTGGTTCCCAGCCGATGCTCTGGATAGAAAACATCCCACGGAAGCTCAAAATCACCTACGTCAACTGAAACATGAGCGCTATGCAACTTAGAGCTCATATTCCTTTCCTTGCTTCGCCTTCCAGGGAATCCTTGCATGATTGCTTGAAATCCTCAAATGCAAACCTAAAGCCACTGCCTGGTGGCCAGCGTGGGTACGGAGAAGGCTGCGATACTGTGGGAAGCAGAGCGACAGCCTCCTCGGCTGCCTGTCTCCGGCGGACAGCTTCAGCAAAAGGCTCAGAATGAAATTTAGGCCTTTTCAGAACCTACCAATTTTCAGCAGCTTTGTGGGCAGCAAAAGGAAGGGGCATTAGAAATTGGGCATATAAATAAATTTGCCTTAAAACTATCACCCGTGGGTGACTTGTCCGTTCTGAGGGATGACGGCAAATGCTTGTAAAGCTTTTAACCCTCCCAGTGCCTCTGCCGGGCTGTGATCGGGGTCCCCTGCTGTTTATTCCTCAACGGTTTTATGCAATATAGGTCTTTGGGAGTTTATGTGTGTACAGTTGGGAATTGACTGGAAATTGTGCTGTCTTCAGACCCAGAGCCCAAAGTGGAGTTCCATGAAAAACTGCAATTCTGAGTTCCTGAAAACTGCGGCTAAGGGACAATTTCCCAGTTTTCTCCTGCAGAGAAGAGGGGTAGCACAGCAGCGGGATGGTGTGACAGGCTGGCTGCCAGCACCCTGCAGAGGCACTGCACGCGGAAAGGAAGGTCTAGAGATGTTTCTGTGGTGGCCACAGTCAAAATTCCCTGCCTTTTAAGCAAGACATTTCCACGTACACAGGGAACACTGTGTGTGGGATGGCAAACACGGAGAGGAGAAACCTCACAGTGCTCCACGCCTGTTCAGAAGAAGCAGGGCTGCAAAGCCCGAGAGCTCAGCCCTGGCGCGGTGAAGCAAAGGTGGGGTCCTGCCCGGTGCAGAAGGATTTCCCTACGGAGCAGTGAGCCCAGGCCTAGGAGCCCCGTCTCCCCTAAGACCCTTCCCCACCATGGGGTGGGATCACACCTGGCTCACGTTGGCCAGGGGCAAGTGGGTTGGGGGATTTGGACCTACCGATCCCACCAAAGGGCAGCGAGGTCAGCGTCACGTGCATCAAGGTGTCGTTGCCGCAGAAGCCACCGCTGCTCGTCCGCTCCAGGACCTGGTTCACCACCTGGGAGGGAAGCAGAGAAGGTGGACGTGGGTCTCACACCCTGTTCTCTCATCTCCAGCTGCAATCCACAACCAGGGCGTCTGCTCTAAAGAAGATTTTTTGGAGCATGAACACGGCTGAATACACCTGCCAAGGAGCACGGGGCAAGAGTAGCCCTGGCTTCACGCAGCCTCTACACTATACCTTGTCATTGGAGGAGAAGGCATACACGACCAGCGGCCGCTCACGGCTATTGATAAAGTCAATGGCTTTGTCCATGTTGGTGACAATGACGATGGGTAAGATGGGGCCGAAGATCTCCTCCTGCATGATGGGATCGGAGGGCTGCACGTCCACCAGCACTGTGGGAGCTGCAGAGAAAGAAACCCGCAGGCATGAGCCATGCGCAGGGGTTGGAGATGATACCTTGGTCCTCTCCCCAAGACCCATACCTCCTCTAAGACAGGACCCCTCGCCGAGCTCCCCGATTCCCGTGCAAACCTTCCCTAAGCGTCACTTCCATCTAGAGCCTCCCCTCCAGTTGTGAGACCCTCTCCAAAATCCGAGTCCACTCCATGCAAGGATGAAGACTTATGTGAAATCCAAGCCCTCACCGATGTAGCGCTCCTCCTCGTCCGTCTGTCCTCCGATGGCCACACGC